ACCCAACAGATATCCCAATCCCGAGGCGACAGCCACAAAAGCAAGACGAGGAAAGATCGCTGAAAATTCCGTTCATAAACACCTAATAATTCAAAGATACAATGAAACTGGACATCTTATTGTGATGTTAGGATAATCCAAAGGACTCTAAAGCAAAAATATCCTTGCTTCATGATGACTGAGCTGAATACCGCTCCCTTAAGCAAAAGATAAAATCGATACGACATTGAATTACAAAGGTGTCATAACTGGTTCTTAAATAAAAACTTTTCGCGCAAAGAAACTGCAAATTTAAACAAATTGAAATGATTTTTACGTTTAATGAATGCAAAAATTAACCGTAATAGAAGGGTTTCTTGTACCAAAGATTATTCAGATGAAGCGCAATCAACGAAAGTCCTCCAATACAAGCGGCACTTTTTTCGGGATAACGCCACGTGAACGGATCGATCAGACTGTAGGGTCTGTTGGATGCGCGGATATACGATTCTCTGCGTTCGATCTCTTTTGCGTCGATCAACTCCCCAACCATACCTATAATTTTATTCACCATCAGAAATACAGTAGTTATCAGAGGTATCATATAAACGACATTCGAACTCGAATACATACATCGTAAATACTGCATTAATAATAACACTACAATTTATATCACACAAATATGCAAAAATTATGCATTTTGCAAAAAAACCAAATTATTCAATACTACGACCGTGATAAAATTTGTACCTTTATAAGTCATTCTACATGTGATAAGATAAACACAATACATAGACATATGATAAATGAATGAAAATGATCGCTATCGTTATCAGCATCAGAATCGTAAAATGAAGCGAAGAAGATGATTCAGCGATCGAACTTCGCCGGGAAGCGTCCTTCTTCAACGAGTTCGTCCCATTTCTCCACCCAAAAGCCCGGACAAATATCCTTGTAGACGTTCTTGAAGAATTTGCACGGTTTATAATCTTCGCCCATCAACTCTTGACAACGATGAAAATCGACATAGTACGCAAAGCATTGACGTTGTTTACGCACTTGTGGAAAACGAGCATCGTACGGTGCAGCCCAAATGAACGACTGCTTCAACTTTTCGTTGTATTCACGATTGAACCAGTCCGGTGAATCCGGATGGCGTAAACCCGGCTCTAGCTTACTCAGAAACTCTAGCCGCTCGGCCGTGGTCGGCGGCACTTCCATTTCATTCACCATTTTTCGTCGTCGTTTTCTTTTGACGAGATAAGATTTCAGTTATTATCTGAAATCTTGAAAAGTTCTTCGACTTATTAAATTACCTTTAAAATACCAAGAAAAGAGATGTAATGAATTTGGTGAGTAGTTAAACGATAGATTAAAGTAAAGGCACTGAAAATAAGATGATAGCGGTCGCCTGACATGCTTAACCTGACAGCTAAATCGTGAGAAAAGGTGTTGGATGCTGCAGGTGAGCAATTGCGATAAAGTGAAGAATGCAGAGTATTGCGAACTAGCACTTAAGAGTTGATAATTTGAATGTAGCATTGTGGCAACTCAAAATTATT